AATTTTCTACAAACAATCTCATTCCAATCAGGTATTGCCTATTGGCTTGATCCAATTCATTTTGCCGACAACTGATTTATTGTGCCGACGGACACGGCCCCCCCTTAGCTACGCCCCTTAGCTACGCCCCTGTGGACGAGTCGTACATGGTATTGATCGAGAGTTTCGTCAACAAGTTGGTTTGTTTTCCTAAACTTGAATAATTCAAACGATGTATTCTTGCGAGGTTTAAAGTGTTCATTTAAAGCTTGACACGCTTCTTCATAGTCGTCTTCTGTGCCTGTCTCTGGCAGTGTTTCAAAGATATTTAGAGTACTTTCACCGATATAGTATAATAATAACGCTCGTTTTCTTTTCTTGTCTTTTATATCGTGTGCAATCAGTAGATTTTCGAATCGCATGAACCATCGTTGCCATCTAATTTCGATATTTTCCCGATTCTCGGCGTCAAAAGAAGCAAATTCTAGTAAGCTAGTCGCCATTTGAGGTACTTGTATATGAAACGATCCTCGTCTTCAATATAATGTTGTCTATAACATTGTTATCTATGCTTTCTTTAATAATCTCTAACAGAACATATCTTACAGTTGCATCTATATCGCCATCTTGCTTACTTCCTCGTGGTCCATAATTAATGTTCATTATGCTAATTATGCTAGACACTACAGACGTAAAATTCTGTGATTTTTGAGGAGGGAAATTAACCTTTCCTCCAAATTTATAAATATTATTTGATTTTAAGGTGGAAATATATAAAGTTTGCAAAAATGTACAAAACAACTACTAAAAGCAGCAGTAAATTTTCCATTCCGCAAAATTGAAATAAATTATTTTTACACATTTTTACCAAAAACGAATTTCTCTTGCAATATTAGAGGAAAATTATAGTGATTTAATGTATTTAGTTAAATTGTGCAGAAAAATTGGTCAAATTCTGCAAAATTAAGGATATTTTTTGTGAATTTGGTAGTTTGGAATTATTGAAAATAGTTTGGAACGCGTTTGACTACCAATAATAGTTGAATCCAGAAAGGAAAAACCAGACTTGAAACCAACGAAAACGTGATTAGATTTGTAATACCCTTTGCTAAAACTGTAACATACCAGTCTTCGTATCTTATTAGAGCGTGTAAACGTGGAACGTTTTAAATAGTGACCTCCGTAATAGAGATATTGGCCTGCAAGCTTTCAAATCTGGACTAAAGACGTACTACAAAAACGCGCTAACCAATATTTATAATTATGACGATCCGCGAACTTGGAAATCTGTGTGCGTTAAATGTAAAAGAGCTAGGTCCCTTGATGGTATTTTAAGTTGTTGTTAGTTGTCTCTTGCACCGATTGTATTTTGTCTTAAATTAGTTTGTTTCGACTGTTAAAATTATTGTAAATGTAAAGTTAATTATGGGGCATCGTAATTGGGGAAACCTGTGGCGAACTCCCTGGCGCTATAATAGCCAAATCTCATTAAATTATTAAATCAAGCTGTTTCCTTCCTCTTTGGTTTTTTTTATAAACCGAGAATGATGATTGCACAAATTGGATGGCTATTACTATAACAAGGAATGGGGAATCGGGGAACGGGGAATGCTAAAACCCGGAATACTAAAATGGGGAATCTCTAAAACCCGGAATACTAAAAGCCGGAATCTCTAAAACCCGGAATACTAAAATGGGGAATCTCTAAAACCCGGAATACTAAAATGGGGAATCTCTAAAACCCGGAATACTAAAAGCCGGAATCTCTAAAACCCGAATACTAAAATGGGGAATCTCTAAAACCCGGAATACTAAAATGGGGAATCTCTAAAACCCGGAATACTAAAATGGGGAATCTCTAAAACCCGGAATACTAAAATGGGGAATCTCTAAAACCCGGAATACTAAAATGCGGAATCTCTAAACCCGGAATACTAAAATGGGGAATCTCTAAAACCCGGAATACTAAAAGCCGGAATCTCTAAAACCCGGAATACTAAAATGGGGAATCTCTAAAACCCGGAATACTAAAAGCCGGAATCTCTAAAACCCGGAATACTAAAATGGGGAATCTCTAAAACCCGGAATACTAAAATGGGGAATTATACTATCGGTGGATCAAAAATCAATTCTACAAGCGCGGCCAAGACCGTGATTCTAATCTTAACCTATACAAGAACATATATATTAATAAGACTTGCAGAGCTTCATTCTTTCATCTAAATAACATAAGGCGCATCAGGAAATATTTATCTAAAGAATCGACGCAAACACTATATCGGTTCAAGCATTTATTATCGGACGCCTGGAAGTTGCCTGGACTACTGCAATAGCCTCCTTTATGGCCTACCCTCAATTGATCTGGACAAACTACAGCGTGCACATAGCACATGCAGAGCAGTCTGCTGCGAGAATAATCTGAAGATTTGACCACATAACTCCTGTGTTATATACCCTGCATTGGCTGCCTATCAGATACCGCGTTACTAAAATACTTATTCTTATACTTTTAAAGCGATTCACGGCCTTGCGCTTGAATATATTTGTATAGTTTAATTAGCATCAGGGACCAATTAAGATACCATCTTCGATCTAACAGTGGGATATATATTATTTCAAAAACTCATTAATAATTCATGAGGAAAACACAAAGAGAAATCATAAGCGTGGCGTGTCTTTATATGTGATAAAACACGCTTCAAATTTAGGAAAATTATTTTGACAATGCCGTGATCTAACTGAGACGTTTTTGAAGCTGTTTAATAAATTCGTAGTTCGTGTTTTATCACATATAAAACACTCATACTCGTTTACTAAACATTAGCGACAGACATCTGCTGTTCCAACATTCTGGAATAAACTACCCGTACATATCCGTAACATTAATGATTTTACAGGTTTTAAGAACATTTTGAAGACTCCCTTTTTGAGATTGCGTTTAACGTTTAACTAAATTAAATTAGGCCTAATCAGGTTTTTATATATGTGTAAATAAGTTAGTAAATAGCAAGTAAATAGGAGTCCATATCAATTCCTGTGAAGCGCATTTGATCATATTTACATGCTAATTTGCGCTATATAAGTTTTAATTATTATTATTTTATTACTGTAAAAAAATGAATTGATGTTTTTGCTAGAATTTATCCTTTTCACACTGCCCCAAAACGACGCGATTGAGTTAACAAACTGGCTGAATGGAAAATGTCGATCTAGATTTAAAATATTAAAAAAACTGAAAGTGGCTGAACTTGTAATGGCGCTAGTGTATTCATCTTTTTAGTTGGTATATACATGCATATTAAGGTTACTCCAATTACTCACATGATGGAAACTCATTTCACCAAAATGCTCACCGCGCGCTCAATTTTCAAGTTTTCCCCTTCAAATTTTGCATGCATAATGATAAATCATTGCTGTAGCTAAAGATTTGCCAAAAAATCTACACCTTTAAAAACTGTACTTGCTCAAATGATCAAAGAACAAAACCGTGTTCGCGTTTTTTGACAGGTATTATATTTGCTTTGATATAAAGCAGAGAAGTTGACTTATCTAAATTTTGGGAGAACGGCAGAATAGATGCCTATAACTTGAAAAGTATGGCACTAAATAAAAAACGCGAACACGGTTTTGCTGCTGTACTATTGTTCAACATTGTGGCAAAGTTTGGAGAGAATCGGATAAAACGTGCGCGTTTCTAAACAATTTTTGTGGGGACAATCTGAGAATATTTCAATCTCCGTAAAAGACGATATTAGGTTTGGCGGGGTGTTTCCGCTCTCTGTTATCACCTCGAACTACAATCGGATTAAAATTAGTAAAGTGTGTTTTGGCAAGGGTTTTCGGTGTCATTCACTCATCATCAGTTTATCACAAACCGTACATGCGAAATGTAAAAAAGGGATAGCTATACAGACCGATCTAAATCGGCCAAACGAAAATACAGTTGAAGATCTGTCGTGAACCACGAAGACACAAGCGAGGTTGAAGGTCACACATCCGGAATCGAGTATCACATCAAGCCACATATTGTCAATTACAATTACAACTTTCGCGGCAAAGGAATCAGTGGTTATAACATTTTTTGTTATATTTCGGACGCATTTTAATATTTTGGAGAAAAACTTCCGGCAATCGATAGATCTCCAGTCCCTGAATATAAATCAATAAAAATGTAAAAAATGATGACATCAGTGTTTTCATCATATAATGTAACCTTAAATATGTTCGATATAAGATATATATTAAAGTTCTTTGTATGTTTGCATGGCGATAAAACATATAATAGTTTTGTTTGTGGAAACACCAGGTAAATTTATTACTGAAGATCCGGGTAATAATAATAATTTATTGCTGAAGATCCGGGCTTACGGATCGAAAGCTTTGCAGTAATAAATTTATGTGGTGTTTCCACAAACAAAACTATTATAAAGATATATATTATATAACTAATTAAATTGGCTAAAAATTATATTATAATGACAGTTTTCCTTTTGTAATCCTTGATCAAAGCAAGAAGTTGCGAGAATTATTTCGTAACAAACGACGTTGGATTTGTATAAATTAAATGCATGGTTATATTGAATTCGCGTAAAAGCTAGCTGGTTGTGTTGTGACCACATATGGTATTCCGGCTTTTAGTATTCCGGGTTTTAGAGATTCCCCATTTTAGTATTCCGGGTTTTAGAGATTCCCCATTTTCAGTATTCCGGGTTTTAGAGATTCCCCATTTTAGTATTCCGGGTTTTAGAGATTCCCCATTTTAGTATTCCGGGTTTTAGAGATTCCCCATTTTAGTATTCCGGGTTTTAGAGATTCCCCATTTTAGTATTCCGGTTTTTAGAGATTCCCCATTTTAGTAGTCCGGGTTTTAGAGATTCCCCATTTTAGTATTCCGGGTTTTAGAGATTCCTGCTTTTAGTATTCCGTGTTTTAGAGATTCCCATTTTAGTATTCCGGGTTTTAGAGATTCCGGCTTTTAGTATTCCGGGTTTTAGAGATTCCCCATTTTAGTATTCCGCGTTTAGAGATTCCGCATTTTAGTATTCCGGGTTTTAGAGATTCCCCATTTTAGTATTCCGGGTTTTAGAGATTCCCCATTTTAGTATTCCGGGTTTTAGAGATTCCCAATTTTAGTATTCCGGGTTTTAGAGATTCCGGCTTTTAGTATTCCTGGTTTTAGAGATTCCCCATTTTAGTATTCCTGGTTTTAGAGATTCCGGCTTTTAGTATTCCGGGTTTTAGAGATTCCGGCTTTTAGTATTCCGGGTTTTAGAGATTCCCCATTTTAGTATTCCGGGTTTTAGAGATTCCGGCTTTTAGTATTCCGGGTTTTAGAGATTCCCCATTTTAGTATTCCGAGTTTTAGAGATTCCCCATTTTAGTATTCCGGGTTTTAGAGATTCCCCATTTTAGTATTCCGGATTTTAGAGATTCCCCATTTTAGTATTCCGGGTTTTAGCATTCCCCATTCCCCGATTCCTTTCCCCGATTCCCCATTCCTTGT